TCGTCATTGCATTAAGAGAAATGTCATTACTTGGACATTAGATTGCTTCAGGAAGTTCCTGTGCCAAATAGCCAGATCCTCTATTGTGTTCTGTCTCCATTAGCAACAAATGCAACTCAAGCTTCGAAAAGTAAGATCAATCTAAATGTCTAACTGCTATGTGGGACATGGGATTCTGAGAAAATAACATTTTTTCTAGGATTTTGATTATAAACGATATCAATAAAATTGATTAATGTTTGTTATCCTGCTAGTCGAGTAGAAAAAGAAACAGATTTAGCAAATTGTATACTTTTAGAAATCATTCTTCATTATTGAACCATGCGTCATGCTGTGTCATGCGTCAAGATATGGGCTTAACTGCAGTTAATGTGGTAGGGCTTTCTCATAACCCATATGAACTGGGCCTTCCAGGAAAGGGTATCACTGTAGCATGTAATTTGGACTTGACGGCAGCTTAATATAATGACCTGATGTCCTTCTGCTTGCTGAAGGTGGGGGTAAACAGTTTGCATTTTAACACAGTGAATCAGAAAGCTTTTATGGAGTGGAGATGCAAGAAGTCTTTGGTGGTAGATTTGGGATACAATCTGTGGATGACATATGTATAGTTACATCCAATGCTTACTTGTTCATTGTGTGTGTGTGTGGTAGTGCAACCAGACCGTGTTCATCCTACACACTGCCCTTACAGTCGTGTTTACAGTATGTAAGGCGCGTCCCTATGCTTGCCCACCCCTACACACTGCCCCTCACAGCCCTGTTTACAGTATATGAGGCGCGCCCCCTATGCTTGCCCACCCCTACACACTGCCCCTCACAGCCCTGTTTACACGTATATGAGGCGCGCCCCTATGCCTGTCCACCCCTACACACTGCCCCTCACAGCCCTGTTTACAGTATATGAGGCGCGCCCCTGTGCCTATCCACCCCTACACACATCCCCCATCCCCACTGTTGGTCCTCACTCCCCGCATGAAGCGAGGCAGCGGCTGCCTCCACCGTCGGAGTTGACAATAACCGCCCCTCTCCCTGTCACGGCTCATAAAATTATACGCAGGTATAGGCGACCCACTATGATATATGGGGGTCATATGTGCCAATATTCAAATTTTTCAAGAGGGGCCTCTTACTGCGAAAATCACCGGGTCCTTTCGTATGTAAATATTGCATTTATTGTGCCAGCGGAGGCCGTAGCCTAGTAGGCTTCATGGAGAGATTTTTTTCCGGTACTCCTGGGATGAATAATAGTTTTTTTTTTGTATGATGGAGGCTAATGAATCATCGAGAGAGAAGTGGGCTTCGTTAAGGCTTCTCTGGTCCCGGATCTACGCGGTGACGGCAGAGTAGTGAATAATTAACGCTAGTTGTGCTGTAATGGTTGTGTGGTGGTTGGTGAGGTCTGGTGGTTGGTGATGGTGGTGGTGGTGATGGTGGTGGTGAGAGGTGGATGATTGTAGTGAGAGGTGGTTGGTGGTGGTGGTGGTGGTGAGAGGTGGATGATTGTAGTGAGAGGTGGTTGGTGGTGGTGGTAAGAGGTGGATGATGATGGTTAGGGGTGGTTGGTGGTGGTGGAGAGGTCTGGTGGTTGGTGGAGAGGTCTGGTGGTTGGTGGAGAGGTCTGGTGGTTGGTGGTGGTGGTGATGGTGGTGGTGAGAGGTGGATGGTAGTGGTGAGGGGTGGTTGGTGGTGATGGTGGTGGTGAGAGGTGGATGATTGTAGTGAGAGGTGGTTGGTGGTGGTGGAGAGAGGTGAATGGTGGTGGTGAGGGGGTGGTGAAAGGTTGTAGTGGTGGTGAACAGTGATGGTGGTAGTTGGTGGCGATGGTGGTATTTGCAGGTTGCAGGGGGTGGTGTCTGGAGATGACGTGGATAGTGACGTTGGAAGTGATGAGTGATGGAGACAGTTGCCGTAGTGAAGATGGAAGAGAAATTGAAGCAGACGTGTAGAATTGAGCCCAGGCGGTGATGTAGGGATGTGAAATGGGGGTGAATGGGGAGAGTAAAAGGTACATTGCTGATATGAAAGGATACTGGTGGCGCTGGGGGGATAAATTCACGAAAAGGAGTACCGGAAGTTGATATTGTTGATATTGTAATTGTATCATGATGATGATGTTGAAAGATGATGGCTTTAGAGAGGGTTAAGAATGTGGTGAATGTGCTGATAGGAAGAATGGGGGGGAAAAAGTGACGTTATGAGTAGTAATCTTGATGGCTAGTGAGAGAAGAGTAGAAGGCATTGACATGGCTGGAATTGATAATGGAGATTGAAACTGGGTACAAAAAAATCTCAGTTCCAATCTTGCACACATTTAGATGTTAATAAAATTGGCAATCATAGCTTTGGCAACAGAGTTGCAGACGAAGGCAAGGCTATGAAAGAGGAATATACTGATTTAAATATACTAGTTGTATGAATGGGTTTGACAGACACATGATAGAAAGTAGTTGTTTAAATGTAATAAAAGTTGTATGCTTAGCTAAGAAACACAAATTACTTGACAAAAAATTCTCAAGCGTAAAGTAGACTTCAAATTTAGTGTTGGATGTAAGGCCAATCAACCTATGAAGGGCATTATTCCAACTACCAAATATACTTTAGTTCTGGATATAATTCAAGACTAAAATAAACTCTTTAAAGTAAAGGCTTGATAAAAGAACTTAAGCTGTTTGTTGCATGAATACGTACCATCAGGAACTAAGGAACTAAGTCAAGGAACACATGACTTCTTCAAGTTTAAGTGTAAGCATCAGACCATGAAGGAGATTGTGAAGAGTGTGAGAAAAGGTAAACCAAACTATCCTCCAGAGAAGACAGTACTCATTGTGACTATTTGGTCTAAATTGACAATAGATTGGGGTGTAATCCGTCAGTAAACCACTTTTTCTATTTTTATTTTTATTTTCAGAAAAAATCAAGCAAAATAAATATTCCTAGGCCTAGTATAGCCCATATTTGTACTATATATTAAGCTAAAATAGCGTGTATTTGGCCTATGATGGCTAGAAAAGGTTAGGTTAGGTCTTATGTTTATTAAAAAAAATATTAAAAAAATAAAAAACATTTCAGGTTCGTCCAAACTCCATAGTACAAAAGTAAATTTTCTAGTGGTCCATCACTACATATTGGTACTTTCCACCAAATAGTGATTGTAAGTACTTTCATTTTAGGAGGATAGGCTGCCTTACCTTGCGATGATTTCGGAGCTTAGTGTCCCCGCGGCCCGGTCCTCGACCAGGCCTCCTGGTTGCTGGACTGGTCAACCAGGCTGTTGGACGCGGCTGCTCGCAGCCTGACTGGAAAATGGACCCCAAAATACGTCTTGAAGATTTCCTTTACTCATAACTTGGTAAAGTCAACTCTTCTTCGTAGGACTCATAGTTCTTCATACAAGCTGAGACATTGTTAAATAAATTCACTTCCGATCAAAGGCCAGATTCACGAAGCAGTTTAACAAGCACTTACGAACCTGTACATCTTTTCTCAATCTTTGGCGGCTTTGTTTACAATTATTAAACAGTTAATGAGCTCCGAAACACCAGGAGGCTGTTTATAACAATAACAACAGTTGATTGGAAAGTTTTCATGCTCGTAAACTGTTTAATAAATGTAACCAAAGCCTTCAAAGATTGAGGAAAGATATATACGTTCGTAAGTGCTTGCGTAACTACTTCGTGAATTTGGCCCCCTGGTACAGATATGAAAAAAATTCACCCATAATGACATTTGTGCTGACTGTTAAGTTTCTAATTGCAGCAGAAAAACTGACATGCAGAGCCTTTGAGGACCTGTGATTCAGACGATTTTCGAAATAATTTACTGGAATCTCTCTGCCATGGAATTTTAGTTTAGGGGTCAGGATTACAGGGGTCCAGTGAGATAAATGCAATGACAACTTATTTACAAGACTGAACTGGTGGTTACAATTACAGGATTGAACTGGTGGTTACAATTACAGGATTGAACTGGTGGTTACAATTACAGGATTGAACTGGTGGTTACAATTACAGGATTGAACTGGTGGTTACAATTACAGGATTGAACTGGTGGTTAAAATTACAGGACTGAACTGGTGGTTACAATTAGCTCAATAACTTTCTCATATTTCTATATTTTTCCCCCATAGCATAGATGGTTAATGACAAAAGACCTAAATCATCAGCATAGCAAAAGGCATTAGCATTAATACTGCCAATACGACAGCCTGCATTTCTAGTTCTACACTATTTCAACGATGAAGATAGATTTATTTTTGTCGATTTTGAAAAAAAAAAACTTTGCAAACTCCGGAAAACGAAGAAAGAACAAAGTTGATTTATGAGATGAATTGGTGCAATTTCCACTATCCAAAATCTCCATAGTTGAATGTACAAAATGAGTGCCAGAAAGTGATGAGTGCCAGAAAGTGATGAGTGCCAGAAAGTGATGAGTGCCAGAAAGTGATGAGTGCCAGAAAGTGATGAGTGCCAGAAAGTGATGAGTGCCAGAAAGTGATGAGTGCCAGAAAGTCAATGAGTATATAATGAGGTAATTTAATTGTGTATTTAGAGCAATGGCTCTGTATTTATCAGGACAAATAGGCTTGGAAATTCAAAAAATAAGGAACAGTATTGAGATGTCTCTGAGGGCTATGTAACATGGGAGAGAATGCTTGTAAGACATGCAGCATGGGAGAGAAAGCTTGTAAGACATGCAGCATGGGAGAGAGAGCTTGTAAGACATGCAGCATGGGAGAGAGAGCCTGTAAGACATGCAGCATGGGAGAGAAAGCCTGTAAGACATGCAGCATGGGAGAGAGAGCCTGTAAGACATGCAGCATGGGAGAGAAAGCCTGTAAGACATGCAGCATGGGAGAGAAAGCCTGTAAGACATGCAGCATGGGAGAGAAAGCTTGTAAGACATGCAGCATGGGAGAGAAAGCCTGTAAGACATGCAGCATGGGAGAGAATGCTTGCAAGACATGTAGCATGGGAGAGAGAGCTTGTAAGACATGCAGC